ACACGCTTCGTGGCCCCATAAGGAACTCCGCCGAAGGTCCCAGTGGCGCAGCGCAGTTCGCACGGCGGCGCCGTCCCATTTTGGCACACCCCTCACACGTTACGTGGCCCCATAAGGAGCCCCACTCAAGGTCCCATTGGCGCAGTTCGCATAGCGGCGCCGTCCCATTTTGGCACATCCCTCACGCGCTCCTGGGCTCGATAGGGAGCTCCATCTAAGGTCCCTGTGGCGCATTTCGTATGGCGGCCCCGCCCCATGTTGGCACACACCTCACATGCTTCGTGGCCGCATATGGAACCCCACCTACTCCCAGTTCGCATGGCGGCGCCGTCCTTTCACACACACACACACACACACACACACACACACCACAGACACCACAGACACCACGCACACAGACACACAGACACGCAGACACACAGACACACAGACACACAGACACACAGACATCACAGACACACGCACACAGACACACAGACACACACACACACACACACACACACACACAGACACAAACAGACACCACAGACACCACAGACACCACAGACACCACAGACACAGACACACAGACACACAGACACACAGACACACAGACACACAGACACACAGACACACAGACACACAGACACACAGACACACAGACACACACGCACACACACGCACACACACGCACACACACACACACAAACATACACGTTTCGTGGCCCCCTAGGGAGCTCCATCTAGGTGGCGCAGTTCGCATGGCGGCGCCGCCCCATTGTGGCACACCCCTCACACGCTCCGTGGCCCCATAGAGCTGCACCTAAGGGCCTCATGGCGCAATTCGTATGGCGGCGCCGCCCCATTCTGGTACACACCCCACACGTTTCGTGGCCCCATAGGGAGCTCCGCGTAAGGTCCCACTGGCGAACTGCGCATGGCGGCGCCGCCCCATTATGGCACACCCCTCACACGTTTTCGTGGCCCCATAGGGAGCTCCACCTGAGGTCCCAGTGTTTGGCCTCCCGCCGCGGACGACCCGTGCGCGTCACTGGGACCCCCTCCGAGCGACCAGCGCGCGTCGCGGGAACTCCGCGCGGCGTTCTACCCAGCGCCTCGCTCGCCCGTCGCCGCTCTGCCTAGCGGCCGGATCCTTGCATGCCATCAGCCAGCCAGCTAGCCCTCTTTGCTCCGCGCCGCGGACGACCCGCGCGCGTCGCTGGGACCCTCTCGGGGCGACCAGCGCGCATCGCGGGAACTCCGCGCGGCGCTCTGCCCAGCGCCTCGCTCGCCCGTCGCCGCTCTGCCCAACGGCCCTCGCCCGCCATCAGCCAGCCAGCTAGCTAGCTAGCTCTCTTTGCTCGGCGCAGCGGACGACCCGCGCGCGTCGTTGGGACCCCTTCAGGGCGACCGGCGCGCGTCGCGGGGACTCCGCGCTGCGCTGCGCTTGCAGCCTTGGACCTTGGAGCGCAGGGGCAAAGAGGGAGAAAAAGAAGGGAAGGAAGCGGGCACGATCCTCGTGAAGGGCGTGTCGACATGGGCGTCACGGCGCGCTGCCATCGGGGTTTCCGGGGGAGCTCCCTGTGGCAGCCACGCTCAGTGCCACGAGTGCTCAGAGCCAGGCATACCCATACCGTTCGCATTCATATGCATTTACACTAGGTGCATCCGTGCTCGCATTCATGCAAATGGACTCATTCGCACGCAGAGTCATTCAAAATCAGACTCACTCGCGCTCAGACTCACCCGCGCTCTCGTACTCAGACCAATCGTCTTCGTTCGTGTTGTGTATGTACCCCGCCACACGTCTCTGCAAGCCCCTCATGCGGTTCGTGGCCCCATAGGGAGCGCCACCGAAGACGATATTCACAATTACGATACTCACAACTGCATGTGGTTGGGCCCTTCGCCAGGCTAAATTGATCCATGTCCTGCCAGATGGCCGAAGATGTCCCCAAGGCTCCCAAGAGTGCACTAAGAGGACCCCAGGAGGCGACCAGGAGGTTCCCAAGAGACCCCCAAGAGCCCCCTAAAATCTCCCCTGGGGCACCCAAGACGCTCCACGAGGCCCCAGGGACCGCCAAGAGGCCTCCAAGACACCCCAAGAGGACTCCAAGAAGCTCTCAAGAGACATCCGAAGAGACTCCGAGAATCATCCAAGAGGCATCTAGCCATTATGCTCTACCTCCTCCTCCTCCTCCCTCCTCCTCCTCCCTCCTCCCCCCTCCTCCTCCTCCTCCTTCTCTCCTCCTCCTCCTCCTCCTCCTCCTCCTTCCTCCTCCTCCTCCTCCTCCCCCTCCTCTTCCTCCTCCTGCTCCTCTTCCTCATCCGACTGTTCCTCCTGCTCCCCTCCTCCCCTCGCCCCCTCTTCTTCCCCCTCCCCCTCCCCCTCCCCGTCCAATTCCTCCTCTATGATCCCCCTGCTGGGGTATGACGGCTTCCCCAGCCCTTTATTCCACTGCATGCTCCTCCACATCCCAAATCAGGGTAACTCGCCTGGGCATTGTTTCTGGATGGGCTGGTGGGGTTACGCGAAGCGTTTGGAATCATAGCGGCATAAGTGGTAGCAATACGAATATCAATCAGAATGATGGCTGTAGCTATATCACTCCAGGCGCCTACTGCTGCCTGCTCGCGATCCAGGTGTTGCCCACTGTTGCCTGCCGTAGGAGGACCCACAAGAACTCCTAGGTGTCGACTGCTCGCGGTCTGGATGCCAGACATCGCGGGCTGGGCCTGTTCTCCCCATACCGTTCTCGTGCCCCTCCTCTCCCCCCTCCTCCTCCTCCTCCCTCTCCTCCTCCTCCTCCTCCTCCTCCTCCTCCTCCTCCTCCCTCCTCCTCCTCCTCCTCCTCCTCCTCCTCCTCCTCCTGCACCTCCTGCTCCTCCTGCTCATCCTGGGAGGGGGATGGCTGGGCAGGTGTGGGCACCTCTTGGCCACGTCACGACGGCCCGGCGCCGCTCGGCGCAAGCTCTGCAGGCGGCCCCGCCCCCTGGTCTCACTGGCCGCTGCCCCCCCGGTCCCCACCGGTCCTTGCAGCAGACAATGGACCTCACGATGATGTCGCCTTCTGCGGCAGGGGTGCCCTCGCTGCTGCCGCTCGCCGTCCGATGCTCCCCCTCGTTCCTCTCTCCCGCTGGGTCTGCACCGCGTCTTCAGCGCAGCGCACACCCCTGGCAACGATGCCCTCTGGCATCTTTCCGCGGACCTCCGAGTTCCGAGTTCCGAGTTCCTCTCTCCCGCCCGCCCTCTCAGGCCCATTCCTCCCCACAGACTTACGTCTCGCTTCATCCCGTCCAGGTTCTGGGAGCTGGAGGCATCGGCCGAGGCTTCCAGCAGTCGCGCTCGAGGCATCGGCCTCAGCCCTACCGAGAGCGAAGATGCGGGTAAAGGCCCAGATCTCTGCATGCATCGCCCAGTAAAAGTTGCATCCAAAAGGGTGTCGAGGCGATGGAAGCAAAAACACGATTAGCACCTCCTGGTTGTCCTCCCATCTTGGCTTTCTCCACGCCTCTCAGTCCTCGCCCCTCCAGTAACTCGCCACGTTCCCCCTCGAGCTACCCACACGCCTCTTTCCCTGAACCGCCCCTCCCTCAGGGCCGAGGCTATGAGCAATGTCCTCTCCTGAGCCGACCATGTCGAACGATTGCTCGCACACTCGGCCCATATCAGCACCCTGCGTGGTGATCCTCACTTGTTGTAGATGAATCGTATCATCCGCATACTTGCGAGATGCGAACTAGCAAGCGTAACGCGCATGCGTGTACTAATCGTACCATTTGTAATGATAGTATACGACGCATTATTGGTGTACGTCTTCGTTGCCTTCCCATGAACATGAGTGTTATCAGCATTAGTTGCATTATGATGTGTAATGGCCGCCTTTCTCGTATCACTCGTAAACCTACCCAGCTTAGTAATATTGCTCCAACGCGTTCGACTTGATTGATCATTATTACGATGTCCGTAATGTGCGAATGTTATGTGGTATTGGTACGTTTCTTCTCACTGCAAATGTTACTCCGAATCGTCTTCTTCGTGTTCTTACCAGCAGTCGAAAAGTCACATACGTATTAGTAGTGTGTTGTCTTATTCGTCGTCTTCTTAGTATTACCATGGCCATTAGCAGTAGGATTCGCGATATTGTTATTCCTCTCGCAAACTTCCTCTCCCGACGCCCCCCACCCACAACCCTTCCCCCAGGCGCTCAGAACGGGTTTGGAAGTGTCTCCCTCGCGCTTTCCCGCCCTCGCCACCACAGGCCTGCGCAGCGGCGGGACACAGAGGCAAAGACCAGCATCCGCACGCGCAGGAGAGGCGCTCCTCCCCGCACCGCATCCTCCACGTGTGGCGAGCGATCTTCTGCCCGTTCGGACGGCGGGAAGGGGGGGGGAGGGGGAGGGGGGACGCCCACGGCAGGTGTAGCGACGGCGGCGTCCTGGGGGGGCGCCCGTGTCTGCGATGGGAGCAGGCCAGGCGTAAGATCGTGCACGAGCTGCGTGCATCCTGCTAGCCCAGGTGCGCCTGGCGGCTGCGTCCAGTGCCGCTGCCCAGCCGCCGGAGATCAAGGAGGAGAGCGAGGTGGAGCAGGTGTAAAAGGTAAAGGGCGCTTGGGAGCGGTGTCCGACGGTCCTGAGGAGTTCACGCAACTGACACGGTGAGACGGTGAGAAGGGAAGAAGATCTGCCTTAGTCGTCGATCAAAGTGTGTGCTGACGATGTGCTACACAGTGAGAGAATAGCTGCCGAGATTGGCCCCGTACAACGGTGCCACGTCATCTTACAACTGAGCCTACAGATGATGGCCATCCAGGCCTTCTGGAGTAACCCCAAGGGAATCAGTTTATCCCAGATTGCCGCCGCATGCCGCATCAGAAAAAGGATCGTGGCATCATAAACATAATCGAAATATATGTTCTTCTTGGTCACAAGCCAGGCCGTGACAGACTCTGACACTTTCGCTCCAACGAGGAGCCCCGCGAGCGTCCTGAGAGACATCAGGGTAGCATCTGACAAGCCGC